AGAGAGAGAGAGATCCCGTCCATGCCCACAAGGGGCTTACACTCTGGCTCAAGCAGACACCATTTAAGACACCGTGATACGTGCGATCGATGCTACAGAGTATCTAAGCAATCGTGGGCAGAAGTGAGGTCAGGAAAGGCTTCTTGGAAGGGACAGGCCCCTGCTGTCTTAACGGAGTTAACCGGGGGTTAGTTTTAGGCCAGGAATAACACGAGCAGAGCAACGATGTCGAGACGCAGCATCACCGGGGAACCACAAGCACCCTCTCCTCGCCCCACTCTCATCGGCCACGTTCAGGATCCCCGACAGCAACTGCCGGGGAGCGGTTGTGTCGCCATCCCAGGGTCTCTGCATGGCTTTCTGCTGCACCCCGGGTCCTACAACCCTTCCTAGAAGGGTAAAGTGCGCTTTCTGGAAGAAAGAGCGGCAGCGGCGGACCGGGGGTCCAGCGGGACACGGGAGGGCGCGGCGCCCACTCACCGCTGCTGCTGGCGAAGTAGAACACCATGATCCCAGCGGCGGCGCGGCGGCTCCAGCGGGAAGCAGCAGCGACCCAGGCGCGGAGCTCAGGATACCACCCGCGCCGCGGACGCCCGTGTCCCGGAACTGCTCCGCGCACTTCCGGCGGCGGGGGGGCGCGTCATAAGGCCGGCTCGTCGGCGCCCTCTTTAATCCTGGCGAGGCGATGGCTATTGGCTGGGAGCCGGATGCAGGGAACCGGATGGAGGGGGCGGGCATCTTGGGCACGTGATCACGGACCTCTCTGCGCTGCTCGTTCCTCCCCGGGGAAAAGTGGATGGTACCAGCGCAGTCGGCCGAGGATAATCCGGTTGGGTTAAATAAATTAATAGGCGACCAGGATTTAGAACACAGCCCTCGAGTCAGTTGTCATGGATACCCACGCCTTGCGGGGGTTGTACCTCGGCTCTTCCTGGCTTAAATCTGAGGCCGGCCATCCCAGCGCTGGGGCCTCGGAGCTCTTCCTGCTCTAACCTGGGAATCATCCCGCTGCACTGAGCTTTGACCTGCTGATTACTCTTGAGAAAAGAGCATATTTGTTAGGGTTAGGAGGCTGCGGAGGGGCGCAACACCGCGGGAGCCGGCCCGCCAGAGGTGCCCGCTGGGAACCAGAGATGCGAGAAATGCAAGGATTTGCAGCACACAAAGAGAGGAAGGAAGAAACGGTTTGTTTTAAGCACCGACTGGAAAAGGGTCAACACTCTAAGATGCGTGTGGTCCCGTAGGGCCTCCCCCTCCCAGCCCCGGCTTTAATCTTTTCCTTTGGAGATGTTGTGAACAGATAGACGTGAGTTGACCGCTTGGGAATGTCTTGGAGACCCTCAAGGGGGGGAGGTGTCCCTGGAGTTGATTTTCAGATTACAGTAGCCATACCGGTCAGGCTTGAGGGGGTCTGGGTTTCTGAAAACACAGAGTCAGCAAAGTTAATCTTTACCTAGAGTATGCATGTCTCCAGGACACAGTTCCTATTTTTCTCATCGTTGTTTTAAGATCTAGGAACAAAACAAAATGGCTTCCCACTCGGGATCTGTCCTTTCAATAGTGATTTTTATGTATGTATGTATTTTAGTCTTTTTTTAATCAGCTTTCTCAGATCGAAAGGAACTTGTTTGTTTGTTTATTTTAGAGACACAGTTTCATTCTGTCACCCAGGCTGGAGTGCACCAGTGCCGTCACACAGCCCCTACCTCCTGGGCTCAGGTGAACTGCCTGCCTCAGCCTCCTGAGAAGCTGGGACTACAGGCCATCACGCCTGGCTAATCTTTTTTGTTGTTGTTGCTTGTTTTTTGAGATGGAGTCTTGCTGTGTTGCCCAGACTAGTCTCGAACTCCTGGACTCAAGCAGTCCTCCTGTCTCAGCCTCCCAAAGTGTGCTGGGATTACAGCACCCTGCCCTGCCAAAAAGAACTTGTGCGTGTGTGTGTGTGTGTGTGTGTGTGTGTGAGAGAGAGAGAGAGAGAGAGAGACATTGAGTTGGGGTCTCTGTCACCCCGGCTGGAGGACAATGGCACAATCAGCTCACTGCAACCTGCACCTACTGGCTCAGGCAGTCCTCCTGCCTCAGCCTCCCGAGAAGTTGGGACTACAGTCACTAAACAACATGCCCAGCTAATGTTTTGATGTAAAGATGAGGTCTCGCTACTTTGCCCAGGATGGTCTCAAGCTCCTGGCCTGAAGACATCTTCCCACCTTGGCCTCCCAAATTGCTGGGATTTTAGGCATTAGCCACCCCACCCTGTCCAGAACTTTTATCTGAGTAACATGAGTCCTTTTAAAGGATCAGGCCCAGAGAGGCATTAAAATGAGACCGCAATCACTTCCTACTTCTACGTATTCATTTAGTGCAACTACTTGCTGTTGCCACAAGTAACCATAAATTAACCAAACTATGTCACGTGGGACACCAACCCACACCTCATAGATTAACAGCATAGAGCCGATCAATGTTTTTTCTATAAATCAATTCCTGACAATTCCATATCAGCCCACTTCCCGTCTCCCATTTTTACGTTTAAAAAATCTGCCTGTAACGAAGGCCAGATGGAGGCTCATATCCAAGATTACTTGGGGGCTGAGTGTTCTGCGCAGCTGTCCTCACTTTGGCTCAAGCAGATTCTTTATACACACACTTGGGCGCACACACACACACACACACACACGTTTTTTGATTTGGAGTCTCACTCTGTCACCCAGGCGCGCGCATGCGCGCGCGCACACACACACACACACACACACACACACACACGTTTTTTGATTTGGAGTCTCACTCTGTCACCCAGGCGCGCGCACACACACACGTTTTTTGATTTGGAGTCTCACTCTGTCACCTAGGCGCGCGCGCGCACACACACACACGTTTTTTGATTTGGAGTCTCACTCTGTCACCCAGGCGCGCTCACACGCACACACACACACACACGTTTTTTGATTTGGAGTCTCACTCTGTCACCCAGGCGCGCGCACACACACACACACACACACACACACACGTTTTTTGATTTGGAGTCTCACTCTGTCACCCAGGCGCGCACACACACACACACACACACACACACGTTTTTTGATTTGGAGTCTCACTCTGTCACCCAGGCTGGACCCTGGTAATCCTTCCACCTCAGCCTTCCGAGTAGCCGGAACTACAGGCATGTGCTACCATGCCTGGCTAATTTTTTGAATTACTGTAAAGATGAGGCCTCACTATATTGCCCGGGTGGGTCTTGAACCTGCGGGCTCAGGCAATCCACTCACCTCGGCCTCCCAAAGTGCTGGGTTGACAGGCTTGGGCCACCGCGCCCATCCAGATTCTTTATATTTTGTGTCTCAGCCACTTCCCTTTAGGCTGATACTCTTATTTCATTCTCACAGTCTTCAGTCTATGAAGTTGAGGGCATCATTTAATTAAATTTATTTAGAAATAAAAATGTGCCAGAAACCACCAGGAGCTGGTGATACAAAGACAATAAGAATAAGTCCTTTAAGGATCTTTTAGTTTCCCAAAGCAAGTACCTGACTATGTCTTGTAAATAGCAATTGTCAGTTTTATTCTCTGTGAAATGGGAATGATAGCACATATCTTGTAGATTGTGGTGAGGAGTAAATGAAATAAAACATGTAAAGTGTCTAGGAGTGCCTGGCATGTAGCCGATATTCGTCCCTGATTTAATCGTTTAAAATTTATCTTGAAAAGTAAAATAGTGCCAGGTGTGGTGGCTCACGCCTGTAATCCCCACACTTTGGGAGACTAGGCGAGGATCACTTGAGCCCAGGAGTTCAAAATCAGCCTGGGCAACAAAGTGAGACCTCCTCTCTTAAAGAAAAGAAAGAAAAATTAGCTCGGTGTGATGGTGGGCTCCTGTAGACTCAGCTACTTGGGAGGCTGAGGCAGGAGGATCACCTGAGCCTAGGAGTTGGAGGCTGCAGTGAGCTCTGATCTGCGCTACAGCTTGAGTGACAGAGTGAGGTCCTGTCTCAAAAGAAAAAATAAGGAACTTGAGACACAGGGAGAGATGGTTCTATCCTGGAAGCCTGGTAACGGTGATTAAAAAAAAAAGAAAGAAAGAAACATAAAGGTACCAATTTTAAAAACGCAACTAACGATAAGCTTCAAGCGTGAGAAACAAGCGCCTCCCCAATCCTGGAGAGGCCTCTTCACAAAATCTTCTCTCACCTGGCCGCTCCAGAATGCCCCTCGGCTGCAGCTGGGCCGAAAACTACAATTCCCAGAACGCCCCTCGACCAGGCGCCGGGAGCGGAGCCCCGCGTTGCCGCAGGGGATTGTGGGAGGCGTGGTTTCCCCGAGAGCTTCTCGCGGCCCCAGAGCGGGAGAGCCTCGGAGACGGCTTCCCGGGTGGGCGGGGC